GGAACACCCCCACCCCATGGAACAAGGTAGAACAAAGTGGAACAGGCCTATATTTTACCAACATAACCTCAAAATAAAACCTAATTCTCTTCTAAAACATCAAATACGTCTCTCTCTCTTTACATTTTATACATTCTTTAAATTTTATTTATTGTATTTTATGTTCTTTAAACTTTCAATTTAATGTCCTCAAAATATTATTTTTATACGGTTTATATTTTTAATTAATTTATGAAATATTAAAAATATATATGTATATATAGGAAAGGTATAAAATAAAATTTGGAAATTACATTAACTTTTTATTTTGGTGTCATTTTAATCGTCTTGATGAAAACTTTCTAATGATATAGTTTGTTATAAAAAAAGTATTTGTTTTATTATAATTTAATAAATTACACAAATTAATCAAAATATATAAAATATATAAACAACTTATTAGAGGTAAATTGGTCATTTTATTTATTTTGTCTTATCCGCTGAACAACTATTATGTCCTGTTCAATCATGTTCTATCGTGTCTCGATACTAAATGCACCCAAAATGAGATTTTAATTAAATTCATGACTTTCTGACCTATTAAAGAAGAAAATTCTTCATACTCATCAGAAGGTCATAGATTTAATAAAATCCCATTTAAGGTTATATATGTACCTAAATATACCTTCAATCCATACACCAACATTGTCGATTCTGCTCACATTTTTTACTCATTTAAGGTTAAATATACCTAAGTATAACTTCATTTAAGAGTCGTAGTTTTTTTTATCCTTTACCAATGCTCTGCACCTTTCTTTTGTTTCATTTGACCAAAGTGGTTACACATATCTAATCTATATGGTGGCACCTTTAAGAGTCGTAATTTTCTTTTCGCTATGTTAGGACAATGAAGTGGTGGCACGTGCCACCGTATGCCCCTTACTAACTAAGCCTACAATGGAAATCTTATATCATGGGAAAGCGACGACCAAGATCTAGTACCTTATCATGTATTCTGAATTGAGTTATTACCCAAACAATTCGCGAGTTGACGTGGATACAACATTTGGCTCATGAGTTCGGAGACTCTTCAGATGATTAACATTTGCAAGAAAGTGGTCGGTACTTGTCTTGAAGCTCCATTTATCTTAAAAGAATGTTATATGTCAACTTCTTAGTCAAATGCCTACAAGCATCTCCAACAGATTCTCCAAGATGGAGATTTGGGGGATTTTAGGCAATTTTTTTGCTCCAACAAATTCTCTCCAAAGGGGAGAAAGTAGGGGAGAAAGGTATAAAATTCTCCAAATTTAGAAAACTCCCAAAAATGATTACCATGAGAAAAAAATAGTTTTTTATTATGTTCCCACCAATACGAGACCTTGAAAATAAATGTTTGGAAGAGAAAAATAATATTTTATTAAATGTATATATTAATAATATAATTAATGTACTAATCTTAAAAATGGAGAGGCTGTTGGAGTTGAATGTAATTCTTTTTGGAGATTTTTTGAATTTTGTTTCTCCATTTTGGATTAATTTTAGAGGTCTTACGAATTGACCACATTTAACACTAATTGTACTTTATTCAATATTTATGTCTCCAATGATGCGATGAGCCACTTGGGTTGTGGCGCACCGGTATCAGGAGAATATGGTTGAAAATCTCATCTAGCCCGGATTTGTATCCAGGCACCGCCAAAGCACTTGTGACCATGGAGGTTCACCTACATGACTCAATCCATTCATGGTAGCCCAACGGATTATTCACTGAGCATAAGCTCGCCCGAAACCCATGGTTACAGGAAAAAATGGTTGTGATGAATGGTAAAACACCAAATTTGGTATAAAACTATTCATTTCCACTATATTTGGATTTTGGTGTTATGTTATCAAGTTTACAAATTGGCCCTTCAAATTTGAGATGTATGACAATTGATTTTATTCTGTAATCACATTTTATTTTACTTCTTACATATATTACATGACAAATTATATTTATATTCATTTTTTTAGAACTAATAAATAACTTTTTACCTTTTTTTAAGCCATGAATTTAATTTTTATGTATTGAACTTGTATAAAATTCATGTAACTTTGTTTTAGATAATATGATAATTATATTTGGAATTGATTATGAACAATTATTTCGGTTATAGTAGTATAACCAAATAATTTATCAAGTTCTTGAAAACATTAAAAAAACAATATGAGTGTATAATTTATAAAATTAATAAATATAAGGATATTATAGATAGAGGCAGGATCAAAAGAGACCATGTGTGAGCAAGGGTGAGCGGGCGACCCGGCTGCAACCTCAAGTTCCGGCCAAAGTCACTTAGTGATTTCAGTGTAGGGGTTAGGTTCCAAGAAGGGAAGTTATGGTGAGAAATTAAAGAAAAGATCTCCACTCTTGGATCAATCATAATTAAATGTCAATACTAACCAGGTGCATAGGGATCGGTTCCTTCTAAAGCACAAATTTCATGGATGGGCATGAGAATAAAAATAATTAGGATTCAGATCTCTTCTTAAGATAATTCCCCTTCTCACACGATCTTCACCTTTGGGGTAAAACTAAAATCACATGTGATGTCATCGTTTTCTTGTTCATTTTATTTGGTTACTTTTCTCTAACGAACCTTGACTCGTTATTGATAATCTAATTAATCATAATTAAATAGAAATATACCGATTAATTATTTACACCAGTTTCCAATTTCTTACACCAAATTGAGATGGAAGGTGAACTGAAGATCGAACATAAAAAATAGAAACGGAGATTGAGATTGAAGGTGAGCTGAAGCTAACCTCTGAAATCGATGCCGGCGTAACCGACGCGCATCACGACCTTCCTTTTCCGGTGAGGTACCCATCTCTCAGGAGTAGTGTCGTTGACGGAAAGGATTAGCGGTGGAGGAGCTAGGGTTTCAAGAATGGTGGTAGATTGAGGATAGGAGGAGGAAGAGGAACATAGGATTGTGATGATTTTAGTTTTATAGTTAGGGTTTGTTACGAAGAGTTTCGAGGAGGAGGAGGTTTGCCTGTGAATAAGAGGGGAGATAGTGAACAGGGGGGTAGAGGTAGCCATGGGAGTGGGTTTCTGAGCTCACCGATGATACAATTGCGAGTAGACACATCAGATAACATTTTGTTTTATTTTTGACAATTTGTAACTTTTCCATAAATTAATAAGTACCATTGTATATGTACCTGATTTATGTCATTTATATATAAAACTGTCAAATAACTTTTAGAGTTGAGATTGCTTAGTTAAACTGTTTAGTGACTTGTTCAGGTGTTGTACCGGTAATAAGCAGTTTTAAATGTTTGGATGATAAGAAAAAAAATGGCTTATATCGGTGTCAAACCGGTAATAAAAAAAAATTATAAGTTACTCATTTCTGACTTATCGGGTTTAAAAACCAAATTACTTTTTTAACCTTAAACCTAATACTTCTCATCAGTCACGTTCGTCTCCTTTCATGTGTTCTTGGGGTTTATGAGTCGGAGTTTAGGGATTCTGGTGAGGTTGTTACACGAGGCCGCAAGATACATAGTGACGGTGGAATCGATGAGTGGAGAAGTCTACAGAGGAAGCTTGGTTGAATGCGAAGATAACTGGAACTGCCAAGTCGAAGACGTCACTTTCACCGCTAAGGTTCGTATTATCATCGATTCCAACCGATTGTAAGTTTTGATATTCCTTCGTTCGATCCGTTTTCTTGATTTTTTTTTTCTTGTGATTTCTTAAACCCTCGGTTGAAACCTTCTCTTTGGTGTTGTATGATGATATGAAACCCTACACGCTACAATACCCATGAATCATTCGTCGAGGTTAAGGGAGATGGGGAATGTCGTGTTTTGTCATTTTACGTGCATAAGCAAAACTTGACAGACACTAAAAAAACAACGTATCAACTTATTACGTTTTGGTACCGCCATAAATTAATCAAAATATTTTTTTATAAAACTCTGGTTTGACACCACATAAGTAAATAATCACCTTTACAAAAAAAAAAAAAAGCATAAGTGGTGTTAAATAGTAATCCCAAACACCCCCTTGGTAAGAGCATCCACACTGCACAAGTCTTTCAACTGCTTTTTACTTTTGTCACCTTAGCTTTCCACTAACATCAATTATATTTTAACCTATCTTCATCTATTTAAAATATTGTATAAAGACCCATCATTTAATTTGTCATTTTAAAATCCAGTTCATAATTTTCAAAAACAAAAATTCCTCAACATTAAAAAGAAAATGAACTCGTAAAAAAAATGAAAGGCGATGTATATATTATATATTTTTATAAAAAAATAGGTAATCGTTATTGATGTCATTTTGATCGTTGACAAAAGTTTTTTTTATCAATGTATGTTGTTATAAAATATAATTGATTTTATTATAGATATTTAATTAACTGACCAAAATTTAATAAGGTGTAAAATGAAAAATATGAGTAGGGAATGGTATAAAATGAAAATTCAAATAGAAAAAGCTTTTGATGGAAAAGGTTGGATATTTTTTAAAATTTCTCCAAAATAAATAAAAATATTTAAAAATAATTACATTTAACTCCAACAATTTTTTTAATGTATTTTAAAGACTATAATATTTATATTATTAAGACTAGAAGCGTACTCGTGCAATGCAGCGAGATACATCGTGATTTTAATATTTCATTTTTATTCTTTATCTCAGTCGATGTTATAATATGACTTTATGTGATTTTTAGAAAGCGATGATGTTATTATTTTTTAATAAAATATATGTTTGAAGATATCATAAAAATTTGACAAAAATATATCGATATTAGTATCAAATTAACTATTTGAAATACCTTACTTTTTTGTGTAATTTTTTAATTCAATTTTTTTATAATTTAATTTAGGGACAATAACGAAGTAATTTATATTTGGTTTAATAATATAATTTTATTATAAAGATAATAATTATTTATTTTGTTGGAACTCGATAATTATTCTAATTATATTTTAGGTTTTTTATATTTTAAAATAAGATGTTTATTCTCTATTTGATTATATTTATCCATAATTAGTTATACGAATTCAAAAATTGAGTTTTGATAAGTTGTACTTTCGCATAATTTACTTGTAATCTTCAAATTTAATGTAAACATTGGTTTTATGTGAATTTGAGAAAGTGGTAATATTTTTATTTTTGAATAAAATATAAATTTAAAAATATCATAAAATTTTGAAAAAAAATATCGATATCATTATTAAATTAATCTTTTTAAAAGTTCTTGTGTTTTGGTGTAATTTCCTTAATTAAATT